CAGTGTTTAAAGGCTTATGCACTTCTGCACAGGTGCATGGTGCATACAGCACCTGCGCAATGCTCCGCGGATCAGCTGGAGTATCGCGGACATGCTAAGATGCATGCACACGCTGCATGTGTGTGCGAGCACACTGCACGTGTCCATGAGGACACCGCCAGCCCTGTTCCAACCATACTGGTTGGAACGGGATTTGCAACCCACCACTGATCCAAAGCCAATCCAGTAACACCCATAGATCATTAAATTGTTAAGCAAAATAAACTCAGAAGCTGATCACATAGGTTATGATGAGTTTAGTGCTCCTGTGCTGTTATCATCAGAGCATGGCAAAACAAAATGCTTTAAAATATCATAAAATACAGAATTCATAAATTTTAATAGCAATAGCACTTATACTTATATACCACTTCATAGTGCTTTGCAATACTCTCTGAGCTGTTTACAGAGTCAGCATATTGCCCCCAACAATCTGGATCTTCATTTTACTGACTTTGGAAAGATAGAATGCTGAGTCAACCTTGAGCTGGTGTGAACTAGAATTGCTGAACTGCTGGCAACTGGCAGTCAGCAGAAGTAGCCTGCAATACTAATTGTTTTAGGACTAAATTTTTAAAAATGGCCCAGGTCATCTTTGACTTAACAGCCATAATTGTGACCAGAATTTCCACTGCTAAACAAGGGTTGTTGAGTGAAGCACTGCAGTTGTTAAGTGAATCACGATTGTTACGTGAATCCATCTTCCTCCATTGACTTTGCTTACTACATTCAGAGCATAGAAGAAGCTAGTTTTCTTTCCAATAAAGGACAAGGGTGAGGTATATATATATATATATACATCTGACACCAAGGACGTGCAGTCAGGGGAGGCAGGGAAGGCAGGGCCTCACCACTGTCATCATGAAAAGAAAAAAAATTTAAAAGGAAAAAGGCTGAGCTAGTTGCTGCCAGAGTTATAGTGGATGACTCTGCTTAGTGCTTAACTGTGTAAAAAAGCCTCTTAAAAAGTGCCCACTGCAGGGGGCGGCAGGAGAACAAGGTGCCTCGTTTAGTCTGACTTTATGATCACTCGAGCAGAGCTAAGCAAGGGTTAAAAGCTGAAAAAATCCTTATGTAGATGAGGCACGTGGTTCTCCTGCCTCCTGTAGAGGGTGTTTTTTAGAGGCTTTTTAGAGGCTCTGGGAGCAGCTAGCTCAGTCTGACCTCAGAGCACATGCCTTTTTCCTTTTACATATTTTTTCTTTTCATNGGAGGAAAGAAGAAGAAGAAGAAGAAGAAGAAGAAGAAGAAGAAGAAGAAGAAGAAGAAGAAGAAGAAGAAGAAGAAGAAGAAGAAGAAGAGAGGACATTGAGCTATTTTTAGTTTTAAACAGAACTGTGGATTTAAAAATAGGGAAAATAAAATAATTAAAATTGGGAAGAGAGAGGACATATCAGCAAAATATTCTGAACTATGTTAAAGTTCAGAAGCAGATTTCTCACCCCAATCCTGCATAATTCCTTTAGCCAGTTCACATTCCTAAAAAAATTCATGATTCTTTAATTAATCTCTTAATTCTTTAAAAGTAGAGCCATAGAGAACATAGGCATCTGTAATTCACAGAGATTCATCCAATCATATTAATTACCTTATTTAGGCAATTTATATGACCAAATGATTTTGGTCCAAAAATAAATGGCAATAATACAAATATAAATTATGCTCCATAGAAATGAGAATTGAACATGTCAAGAGAATCATAAATTGAATGTAGTAGGAATGGGACATTTAAGAAATGTATGTGATGGAACGGGAAGAGATAGGGCCAAAAATGAATGAATTAGCCTTATTTGAATACAAAAGTGGGAGAAGGAAGAGCAAACTATTTGAAAGGAAGAGAAAAACGAAAAGTTATGGTTGGACGAAACTGATTTTTTTTCCTGAATTCATGTCTTTTTTTTATTTACAATCTATTTCTCCTTTTGTTTCTCCTTTTGTCTAATGAGACTATAACCAAAAGAGAATAATGTGATAAGATGTGCATATATGCTGAAAATATTGTCATTTTACTTCAATTATTTTAATCTCAGCATCATCAAAATGCATAGATATAGTCACCTTTTATTGCATAATGAAATGATCACCAGTTAACTGCCAACATGTTGTACCTTGTTTTACATATGTGTTTGTTTTAACTAACAACTAGAAAGGCAATATCTCCAAAGTACCATCAAAAAGTTGCACATACTTATTTGCTCCAGGATTTCCCAAATGATGTATGTCCCGTTTTCTAAATCTATGTATCACAAGACTGCATTTTTCTAATCTGATTTTCAACTAATCCTGAAAATTTAATTTTGCAGCTAATTTCTATTAAGTACAAATACATGCTAGCAATAAAATGTATTTCATTTGGAAATCTGCTGTGTAGTGGCTCATTTTCAATATATTTGATGTACCATCTAAATTGAAAGCATTTTAAGTCTTAAGAATAAAATGTAGCATTAGCAGGAATGAAAGGCAAGCAAAACCATACACATTTTTTAAACTAAATATTCTTGCTTGAATTGTTTTGCTGTTCTCATATATCAAATGATAATACTCATTTGAAGCCCGTAATGACATTAGAAGTTTATTGAAGCATAAGCTGATCTGCTGAATTTGCAGCCAAGTAGTGAGGAACCAGTGCTCTAACTAGCCATGGGCTTACTTTTTATACTTTCCAAGAATAATGGATCCAGGCATTAGTAACTGGCAAACCCTGGCTCCAAAGCAGTGGTAGGTTTCAGGCTGTATGCCCCAGTACGGGCTACCAGAGCCAGTCCAGAGC